TATAACCCGAAGGAAGAGAATCACGGCAGTATAAATAGATGTTTTCTCACAACTATCTGTAACAGTTATCGCCATTTCAGAATTTATCATGTCATGCGTGAAATAATATATATTTATATCATACAGTCACCTCGAATAGTTGATTGTGCGACTATTTGAGTGTTTCTTTACAGTAGATTGATAGGGAATGGAACAATTATTGACTTGTGAACTTGAACTTGCTATTATATAGGTCGTGGGACATCCCCCCGACAAAGTTGAAATAATTATTAGGATTCATAACCTTATCTTTAATTTTTCTTATGTTACTTCACGTGAAGAATTTTCTGGTGCTGTCCTTTATTGTTGTCAAATACCGTGGGAAAAATGTCGGAATTTTAATTGACCGGAACTGCGCACGTGTGATACTCATGGGATAACTGTTCGCCAGCCAGTACCAGTGTTACATTAAGCACTATAAGTGTACCTAACTCACAATATCTAAACTATAAATGTTGCGGTTTAAAAGTTGTTGATTGGTGGTTCTTTAAACGAAATTACTCTTTCATTGATCAGTATCGAGCAGTTTGGGGAAAACTGACGCTATCGTTTTAAGACACCAGTCATGTTTGAGTCCATTTGATCCTTCCGCGACTAATCTCTGTGACTAAGCACTCAATAGTAGTCGGGAAGAAATAATAATAGTACTTATAACCTTTAATCGAACAAGAACCAGTTCAACAAAAGCGACCTTAGCGCTCCAAATGTCGCGGGTCTATGAGTTAATGTATATGGCTTGGTTTGATTTGCTTGACCTGGAATGTCAAAAGGAATATAGTTATATTTAAATCAACCATTTGATTTTTCAGCTTTGTATGCCACTTCCTAATAAAAGAAACTTCATTCATGGATTTTTAGTTACAACACGTGGAAACCATAGAAACAGCTCTATGTCTATCCTTGTGGTGTTTTGGGGCTTCATCATTATAAACATCTATGCAACATTTGGGGTGGGACATTTTGGTTAAAAAAAATAGGCATCTCCATGGGTACTTTCTGTATTCTCCTTTTTGCTAATTTACATATAAACGCACGTGTACTGTAAATTCTGCTCGGATTGGAAAAATAGCCAAGAAGCTAAAGTGCAACTACATGTATGACAATGATGATATGATGTCGTTCAGTATCCACCAACTATACAAGATGCTTTCCCTGATTCACCCACCAGAACTAGAAGGAGTGGGTGTATTTCTATTTTACACTACTTTTAGCAATATTCCAACAATATCACAGAGGGACACTAGAAATGGTCTTCACACATTGTAACGATTTAGGGAATCAAACCCGGTTTTTCAGCGTGACAAGCGAATGCTTTAACCACTAGGCTACCCCATCGGCCCCGATTATATTACAAGAATGTGTTCATGAATCATTGTCAATTAGTGATAAGATCAGATATTCTGGAAAAGGTCAAGGTATTCTGTCCTATCAGTGGCATCAGTCACAAACACATGCAAAGGCAGGTCAGTTTTTCGGAAACACAAAACAAATTTTTCAAGTCAAACTTGAATTGAGCAACATTGCTGTCACTAATGAGTAACATCTGGAAATGCGTGCAGCCATGGGATAGTGAGTTTACATTTACGCCGCTTTTGGCAATATTCCAGCAACATTACACAAGAAATAGACTTCACACATTGTACCCAAGCAGTGAGGGAGTAAGGATATACTCCAAACGTTATGTTCCTCATAATAAGGGGCGGTGGGGTAGCCTAGTGGTTAAGGCGTTCGCTCGTCACGTCGAAGACCCGGGTTCGATTCCCCACATGGGTACAATGTGTTAAGCCCATTTCTGGTGTTCCCCGCCGTGATATTGCTGGAATATTGCTAAAAGCGGCGTAAAACCAAACTCACTCACTCACTCCTCATAATAAAGACGTTGACATCCATAAAAACCCACTTCCTCATGTGTATCAATTCTAAATGCCATTCGGGGCGGTGGGGTAGCCTAGTGGTTAAAGCGTTGGCTCGTCACGCCGAAGACCCGGGTTCGAATCCCCACATGGGTACAACGAGTGAAGCCCATTTCTGGTGTCCCCCCGCCATGATGTTGCTGGAATATTGCTAAAATCGGCGTAAAACCAAACTCAGTCAGTCAGTCTAAATGCCATTCAAATGCCTAATATAATCTGAATCGTAAAACCTAGCTGGGACAACTCATAAGTATGGAATGGGTTTGGTTGCTTTTAAGAATACAGGGATCACGAAGATCGATTTGGTAAACTAGGACACGGTTCGCATTCTGTCAATTATGCCACGTTGCCATATGAACCGAAACATTGACGCGTTCAGTCCTCTCCAGATGATTGCAAACGGGTGTTTTAGACACATCTATACAATTAAAGGTATATATAGACGATTGTCATATAAACACAGCACTGATGATATACATAGTTCTTTGGGGATCAATCAATTTATTGTCCCTTCGCAATCAAACTGCTAAAAATATATCGCAGTTAACAAATCACAATATCATTTCGGCTTGAAGATACGAACAATATCTTTGATTTGGTCAGTCACAACAGACTGAGTTTTTTTTATCGATGAGGATATTCAGTACTTTCTGTCACAATGAACCAGACTAGCAGTCACCCAGTCAAAACTTTTTTAATTTCCAGGATTCCAAGAACATGAAACAAGTTTAATTTTGTAATACAAACCATAATAGCGACTTGAAACTATGATCGTTTGTAAAACAACTTTTATCCTAAGTTAAATAAAAAAAATGAGATTTAAATGTTCAATTTGCAAGGTCAAATTATGAGGATTCGCAATCTTAATTTCGCTTTATTTGAGTGATATTCATCGGTACGTTTTCGCTGCAAACAGACTATAGTTTTAGTGTCATTTAATAACTGAATATGAATGAAGACAGAATATGAGAAAATTAGTTTCAGGAAAGGTCTTCTGCCTTCCGGTGCAGGTACAAGTACCTTTATGTCACTTCTACCAGAAAGGAAATTCCTATGGGAATGCAGAAACATCCAATCGGAGAGTACGTCCTAATTTTGGTAAATACAAACAAAAGTCAGCGCACGTAGAAATCGCTGTTGCTGATTTATTTAGATCGCTGACTTAGTGTGCGGGCGATTGGGTGCCTGACTCTGAGAAGTGTGGGTCGAGTTCCGGATGGGCTCTGTGACATTATCAAAACGTTATTTAGATGTAAAGACAAACAGCACTGATACGATGCCTGCATGAACGACGCCGCAGACTGATCGCTCCTGCCTTACCAATATCAACATGTCGTGGGTTCGGCTTAACATTTGCCAAATGTTCCAATTGATTTGAGTCATCCCCTCAATTAATTAAAATTCATTAACATAATTAAAATTATTTTGTGGCTAAAATATTGAATAACCACCATTTATGTAACCATAAATGGAAGTTAGCAATCAGTGAGTTATGAATTATTTTGTATTTTACCAACTTCGGATTCACTTAATCTACAGAAACACCTTGTGGTTCGAAATTGTATTTCGATTCTTCAGCATCATAATGCAGCGACTTCACTTTTATCTCCCGATTGTCATTCATTAGCACCACCACCCATTACCCTATAGCCTGTAACATACTAAATGTTCGGAAAATACTCACACATAAAGTCTAGCCTTTAACCAGTAATACCGAAGGTCAGGTATATGTCAAAGCAACCCACGTCTCGCGGTGAGCCGACGTCACAGAGACCGCAGTTAATCCTTTCCTGCAGTCGATATACTGTGATGGTCAATCGCTACCCTCCAGCTCACGATCTATACAGCTTAGTTAGCAGCTTGCATATACTTCACCGGGTCCGTCACTTTCATCAAGGTTTAACCTGAGAGGTTACATACACATACTTACGCTTGGATCGTCAGCCACAAGGGTAGACACACAGGTAAGTTAACTGATAACTCTGATGTAGGAGATTTCAACCTGTTATTTATCAATGTCACAATTAGTAATTATGGGTCTTTGATACTTAGCTGAGTTTTCTTGTTTTCCTCTTCTTGTTTTTGATGTTGCTGTTGTGGGGGTTACAAAATCACAATATCAACGTAATGCAACTTGCGTCTGATAGTTTTCATTTTATTTGGTCGTTGTATATTTACGTTTCCTTTTTAATATCACCATGGGTATACGGAATCAAAATAGATTCTGGTATCGTGTACTTGAAATTGTCGATCTTTAAGAAGGTAAACGTGAAGATTCGGCTGTTAGAATTGATCTTCAGCAACCCATGCTTGTCGTAAGAGGCGACTAACGGGATCGGGTGGTCAGGCTCGTTGACTTGGTTGACACATGTCATCGATTCCCAATTCCGAAGATCGATGCTCATGCTGTTGATGACTGGATTGTCTGGCCCAGACTCGATTATTTACAGACCGGCAACATATAGCTGGAATATTGCTGAGTGCGCCGTTAAACAACAAATCAGCCAACCAACTTTAACAGAGAATACGAGTGAATTGCAATACTTGGGTGAAAGATAAAGTCATCAGAAACATATTCCCAAATTTTCAATTAAAAATTATGCATAATTATGTTTTAATCGCGAAAACAGTTTCTGTAAATCTCAGCTTCGGCCATTATGCATATTTCGATGGAACCCACGTGACCTCTCCGCTCGTGACGTCAAATGTGCCTGGAGTCCGCCATATTGCCAAAGACCAAGCGCTACAGTAGTACAAATCGTGTTGTTTCTGTCGTTTTTTTAAACGGTACGATGGTGTATTGCGTTGCCTGGGGTGTTGGCAAAGTGACTGTGTGTCGGAACCCGATGCCAGGAATCTTTGCATTGGTTATTCACCACTGGTTTGCTCATTATTCACAAGTCGTTGTGATGCATTTGGAACATTTATTAATACTACGGCAATAAGCAACAAGTATCCATTCACAGTTTAATGTCACTACAAATACACTTACAACGTCATTCTAAGGTAGGATTGGTGCAAAGTTTATGGAAAGCTTTCATGTTGCAGATGACGTCGCTGTTGTCCTGTCACTTACGACCCTGAGGGAGACACAAGGCTGTAGTCATGTCGCGGACACAACGCACTGCTAGAGAAGCAGGAGATGCCCCTGCCGTCCCTCTCTAGTTACCACTGCTACAGGACATCACAGGCTCGAACCAAGTGATGTCCACATCTGCAGCAGACAAAGAGGATGATCCAACCACTGCTCGTGTCAACATTGCTCGCCTCTCCCAGAACGAGGCTCTGTCGCTCCTGCAACAGTACAACAGTATCGTTGTTGATGACCCCACGGGGCCCCAGACTCTGCCACACATCAAGATTGCCATGAGGTCAGGAGGGGCGAGGGCTGTGCCCGTGAGGGAGAGGATCACCACAAAAAGTCTGGAAAGAGTTGACAGACCTGGAGCGATGTATTTCACTGAAGGTCTTAGTTCGATCAGTAAATTCAAGGAGCCTCTTCTGGCCATGCACAGACGAGACATTTTAGGTGCTAACATGCCAGACACGGTCAGGTTAGCCCGTGAAAGAAGTCATGTTACCATCGGTGTCAACTCTTACCGTCCTCGTAGGCAGAGACATGGGCCCCGGGGTCCCAGGAACATGGGGGTGAAAAGCATGGTTCTTGAGCCGGGGTCAGTGACAGCAAGTCAGATAACGGCACCTCTTGTACTGCCCCAGAATGCAGACATGACGAATGCATGGGAAGAAAGGTCTGTTGGAAACGAGAGCCGGATTGCCCGGATGTTAAAAAGGATTGAAGAGAGGTATGGAAAGGATGTGGTTGACCACGCCCTCCCTTCTACTCCAAGTGTCCAGTCCGTGGAGTTTTACACATCGTCACCGACTGTGACAACACCGGTAAGAACGCCGAGAAGAACTCCGGTTAAGGAAGCAAAACCCACCCAAACCAGCCTCAAGGTAGTGTCCATTGGACAGTCTCTTTCGGACCTACACCCAAAACCCCGACTCCCTGTGAACATCCCAAAACAAAGCAAGAACACAAACTATGATCAAATAGAGCGATACAAACAGCATGTGACGGATAAAAAACAGAGTCGGTTTGAGATCAGATACAAGGCAATGAAGGAACATAAACCTGGACTTCACTTCCCGTACGGGTCAGAGAAAAAGTCATTTTTCGGACAGGTTAAACCAAAGGCTAGCATTAAAAAGAAACGTCAGATAGTTGTATCGCTTACAGATATCACTGGGACCCCAGACCAAGATGAGGCTGTGTCTGATGAGGAACGAAAGAAGCCTGAACCAAAGAAATCACAAAAGGGAACATTTAATGTGGAGGGAGTGAAGGGTGTTGGGAAAGATCAAAGATTGTGGTCCCCGTCAAGTGTCAGTACAGCAGCATCAGTAGTCAACCCTCCCCCCAGTGTTGAGGCCGGCCTGTATGACCTGGAGCTTCCACACACCAGAGACCCAGCAGCTATGTTTACAGTTGAAGAGGAAGGTGGTGGAGAGACTTCAAGACTACAGGCCCCAGCAGAACATCTTTCTGACGGAAACGATTCTACGGTGTCTAGTTCTCTTCTAAGCGTTCCATTTGTAGCTGCGGGGAAGGAACGTCGTCCACAAGAGGATTTGATGTGGGGAGAACGTCCTCCTAGAAGAGATAACCCCGTGGATGAAGATGTTCTATCCACATCGAGGCAAGTGCAGCCTTCTTCGGAGGTTAAGGTCACAAACATTGAACTTTATCCGGGGTCAGAGCACCGATCTCGACCTACCATCAGCGTCAGTGACAGTGACGAGGTGGAGGCTGACATTCAGAAACAGAAAGAGTCGGGGCCAGAACTCCACAGTAAAGAGGTGGAATCAAACATTAAGGTACTGACAAATGAACACATTAAGTTAAGTGATGAGCATGATCACGACACAAGGAGTGAATCTAGATCCAAGGACAAGTCACCCGCTGTGTCTGTGCACAACCAAAGCATCACGTTCATTTCGCCACTCGAGACACAGGCAAATGCCAAGCGGCAATAAACCTGATTGGGCGTATTCACAGGGTCGTAATTCATTTGTGATGATGCCATCGTTTTTGTGCATCGTTTTTATGACAGTGATAATGATTCTTTATGGGACAGGATCCTGCTGCCTGCACATGTCACAATGTGCCTAGAAGTAACAGTCTGCGTGATGTGGAGTGTTGCATTGCAAGAGCTAAGAGTAACTTAACTGATACTATATTACAGTATCAAAGCTGTGATAGGACAGCGTTAGACACAATGATTGTGTAAATACAGTTGCATATAAATCCTAAAATAACAAATATATTATATAAACTGTTGTATCTGTCGTTTTGTAGACTGCAATCTTTCCTGGTCGCGGTGATAATTGATGATCAGGGTTCAAATTGGTCCTCAGCAACACTAGACTGACTGACTGAGTTTGGTTTTACGCCGCTTTTAGCAATATTCCAGCAATATCACGGCGGGGGACACCAGAAATGGACTTAACTCATTGTGCCCATGTGGGGATTCGAACCGGGTCTTCGGCGTGACGAGCCAACGCTTTAACCACTAGACTACCCCACCGCCCCTGCAACACTAGAACAACCTATGTGTGTGTCGACTAACTGGATCGGTCATGCTCGCTGACTTGTTTGATGCATCGTATCACAATTGGGTAGATTAATGTTCATGATATTAAACACTAGACTGTCAGGTCCAGACACAATTATTTACATACCGCCGCCATTTAGCTGGAATATTGCAGGGTGATTCTTAACAAAGGAGAATACACACCTGAGGGGCATTCTCGTTCTAACATTACGTATCCTTAAAGTTAATAGGCTTTTCACACCACTTCAATCACACATGCTAAGGTCAGTTTGATGTCCTCGATAGATTGAATACGGACACCCACTAGCCTTCAGCTATAAGCGAGTTCAACTAGATTACGCGGATCCCAGTCGATAAAACCATCCGAAGTAGATTTCAATATATTATCTGCACTAGTAATCAATACGTTCACGTTTCCTACTGGTATCTACTGAACGTCTTTTGAAAATGCATACATGAGAACGACCGCGTTTACATTCATTGACCTTCAGGTACGTTTTAACGACACTAGCTGATGACCCTGTGTGAAAATACCTGTGATAAAATGACCTATAACCTATCAAGCGCATGTGTATGAACGGGGATCTACACCGGCAGCAAGGGCTAATTAATTATTCCGACATCACAGTGCTAGTAAACTCAACGATGTTACGTGGATTGATTACGAATACGTTTCAGCAGTCAAAGTATTCAGATTTGTCATCTCACTGCTGAGCACAATGCTTGTTTGCTCCCTTGTTTGTTGTTTAACGTCACACCCAGCAATGTTCCAGCAATACGACGGACGCCAGTAACTAATCGAGCCTTGATCAGACAACCCTTTCATCAACAGCATGAGCATCGATCTAAGCGATTGGGATACGAGAATATGTCAACCAAGTCAGCGAGCCTGACCAGCCGATTCCGTTAGTCGCCTCTTACGACAACCATGGGTTGCTGAAGACCGATTCTAACCCGGATCTTCAAGGGTCCTGAGCACAATGTGTCTGTTTACATGAGTCGGGAACACTGCTCAGACATTGTTTCAGTCGATCGGCAGAATGGCAGATTAATGTGTTTAAGTTACCAATATCGTGGACTTTTCACCACAAGATGAAACACAGAAGTACGATATATTGTTGATAGGACATTGATTTTTAGACCAAAATTGGGATTGGAACCAAACACCAAACAATCATGTGGTCAGCTTTTACGAAGCGCAGACTGCGGAAATCCACACTTGGTTAAAGGTTCTTCTATGGATCAAGGGACGCTACAGTGCTGGTTGTCCTCACTGACAATTTGATGGCTGTAATTCTGACCCACTTTTCAATATAAGCGAATTTCTCAGACTGCAGTGTCTTGGATATTCAAAGATTTCACACTACATGTAACTCAGGATCAGCTGAAGTGCAGCGACCCTTATCCAGCCAACCTAATACTCCCTGAGTAATAACAGGTAGTTCAATTGTGGCCTCCTTGGCTAATGAACGCTAATAGGTTTATGACGACGAGCAATCAACCAGGCCATTTCACTTACCCAGTTGTGATTAATCACTCTTCAGTAATAAAAAACACATTAACACATCTTATATAAGTAATCATTTAATAGCTGCCACACAATGGCAGAATAACATACAATATACACATCTGCGTCAGTCGGACAAGGTAACATCCATACACAGTGGTATGATCAGCATCAGGAGCAATTCTGGGATGGCACTGGGGAAAAGACTACTCTGCTCCAGATCTTCATCTTGGGATTGATACAGCTGAAGTCTGTCTTGAAAACAGCTGTGAGTTTCATGTAAAAGGCAAAGCTTATGCATACTAAAGTCATCTATCAGAAGTCTGTATCACAAAAACATTCATAGGAACTAGGAAATCACAATACTTGCTCTTACTCCCAGATAGGATAACTGTAGTCATTGCGAAAAATGGTAACTCTGCACATTGAGCCCGTTATGCCTTAAACTGGGCCACTCATGCCCCCAGTACATATGTAAGTGAGCACTGCGCTGGAAGCCATTCCACAAAGTAATCTCTAAAATCTGTGATAATGCATTGGAATTTCAATCCTCTTAACGCATGGGAATTTCAATCCTCTTAGCACAAAGACAGCTTAATGGAAGTGGGCCCAGGTCAACAGATAACATGGGCACATTACCTAGAATTATGGACCATATATTCATGTAAATGATATCATTTTTCTGTGTGTCAGTCAAACTAGAAGGAATATAATAAATCATTATAATAACAGTGAAGGAATTCCTCTGTGAACCTATGGCAAGTGTGAAGATACAAGTATTCTTCCTTACTCAGCACCAAGCACATCATACTGGGGGATCAATCTATAAATACAAGGTCTGGCTTCAAAGGAGATTCAAGTTTTGGAAATATAAAAATATTTCATAAATTCATATGAGGTAATGTAGACACCTGCTTACCCGAAATGTTGCCTGAGAATGTAAGGCTGTTATTTGATCAGCCTTATACACATAGTTTACATACTTGATACTGTTCACTGAAACAGAGTTAAAACGATTGCTTGACTTTGACTGACTAGACTGAGTTTGGTTTTACGCCGCTTTTAGCAATATTCCAGCAACATCACGGCGGGGTACACCAGAAATGGGCTTCACACATTGTACCCATGTGGGGATTCGAACCCAGGTCTTCGGCATGACGAGCCAACGCTTTAACCACTAGGCTACCCCACCGCCCCGCAGTGTAATTAGAGGTGTTGCTATTTACTCCTGTCGCCACCTTACCAATATCCTCAGCAAACCTTGATAGTAAACTACATCTCCCACTAGAACCGGATGTTTCTGAGCTGGATGAGGTCCTACCACAACACACGCAACAAATGATAAAAAGAATAAAACCAAAACAATACTATAAACAAACAGTCTACATTCAATCCAAACAAAATTACAAACAGCTAAAATGTAAACATATTGCTGGCTTCGGCTGGAAGAAAAACAAGATGAACTTTCTTCTATCAAGAGAGAGGGCAAAGCTGTCATGGTACCGTCCAGACAGCGGTCAAGCCAAAGGGGAGGCTGTGTCTGATGTGATGACCCCCACCTTGCAGCATGGTAGTGTCCAGACAGCGGTCATGCAGAAAGGAAAATATTATTTTCAAAGACAATTACCCAAAGTCACAGGTCAACCTAGGTATCCAGGAATGACTGGGTGAGTGAGTGTTATGTCATTGTTAGCATTATTTTACCCATATGCCAGAGTACACAAGGATGGGCTTCGAACACAGTACCAACGTGGGAAATCAAACCTTTATCACCAGGATGTCCTAACTATTTTATCATCAGTCAACAAGCAGTTTTGGTAGTAAAGGGAGGCAACTCTGTACACAAAGCATCTCAGTCAAGGTCATCTTGCCCTTTCCACATCAGCAGATGACGTGTTCTCTCTCATCCTATTCCTGAATACGTTTCTAAACTACCTGCTTTGAACAGCTGCCCCCCTGAATGCAACCTACAGCATACTCTAGATTCACATGTATTCCACTTACTGCCCATTTACAAAAATGCATACATTTTCCTGAGATATACTGACATACATTCTTTCATTTGAACAGTGCAGCTAGTATTCCAAGCCCTTAGAAAACTGCATCAAGGCCGCAGATGAACTTTTTCATGTCATCAAGGTAAATTGAAAAATTTAACACTGCTACAATACAACATTTTCTGTTGAACTATTGAACATCTTTGAGAGAATGATACCTTCAATTTCAGTTATGTATACTTAAGAAATCTAGTTCGCTCTACCACCATGTATAGTGTAATAAAGGATACTTTCGCCCTGAATTATAGTTAAAGTATGAGGAACACCATCCTTATCTAAAGTGATGTAGTGAATCCACCTATCATGTGATTCTCAACAGTACTGGTAAGTATGTTCTTATATAAAGAAAAAAGAAATGATGTACTAAACCTTATTATCATCGCAACAAAATACTATATATATGCAAAGAGATGTTCCAATTCGCATCCACAGATTGCTGGATTAAAAAATTATCTAAACACCTTGTATGAAATTGACAAATGTACTGCCTTTTCGCACTGCAACTATGGTAAATTCTTCACCTTTTGGTCATCTTGCCATAACCTCTTCACATAAATTGCAACAATAAATGTATTCTTATAGCCTACGGATTATCTACCACCCATGTCCTTGTCTTATAATATTTACATGTACCAGAAATGCATAAATTATGTACCAATTATAAAGAAATAAAGTGATAAAAAAAGTAGGTTCTTCATCAATAATCTCGGGTATAATCCTGAATACATAAGCATGCATGATGTCAAAAAATGTTACAAAATAAACAATAACCACAAACTATGTTCAATGAGATAACATGCATATATTAAGTGCTTTATCATGATGTACAAAAGTAAAGAGATACAGAACTGTGTTTTTGATACTTTGTACATTCATACATATAAAATGAAGCATCAGGTGTATATATCATTTCTATCTTGTATATTGCTTGTCCTATATACCTCAGGCATCAGAAACCATGGTAACTGGCTCAGCATTTGTGTTACATTTCATCTGGTGTGTCACATATATCTATATAACTTTATAATACCTAGATGCTAAGCGATTCCATACAGTTCAAATATATATCATGAAAAACAAATATTTCCAATAAAAACATTTCAGAAAATAGTTAACAATTAAGTCTCTTTGCTATCACAAAGAATTTGATGGAAAGCATGAATGATTACCATATTCTCCTGATTCAGGTAATATCAACTATTATCTGAATAATCACCATATCGCCTCATCTGCATATTCCACGCATATCATGTCACAAATACACCGAGTCGCAAAGTGGGTAATTCAAAGCTCAAAGTAGGTAGGGTTTAATATCACTTTGAACAGGATTCCTTTATAGCTTGTCACCTCATGTGGGTGAAAGCCTAAAGTGATGTAGATTGGACATGTCAACCACTTAGTGAAACCCAGGTGCTCAGAACCCAGACATGGAGTGACCTGGAATCAAACCCATGATCACAGGTTTCTGGCACAGCCAAGGGACACAACTGTGTATAGCAAACTACGGCAGACTAGACAAACTTTGCATAGTGCACAAAGTATTGAAACTGGCAATGATATGATTTTCATCTTTAAAATTCTGCATCAGCTGTAACAATAAACTCTGTGTCGATATGATACTTATCAGGCATATCTCAGTAGTAGGGAATGACCATATTTAGCATGTTTAGTACAGTTAATGTTTCACTTTAACATGCCTGTCTTAAACATACTTGTATCAGATTATATCAATACATGACCTCACAATAAAATGCTCGTGCATCATGTCACTGTATCGCAATGCAGAGAGCTATTGATGGGTTGATCAATCATATCAAGCAGGTATCGCTGGTATTGGTTTACAGCACAGAGAACAACACCCCTTCCAGTTGCTAGGATTTGACACTTTCATTATTGCTACAGCATAATCATGACTTGTATAACACATAGTACCCATTTGTTACTAAAGTACTGTCGGAAATAGAAAAAGAACTCTCTTTAGGCTATTACTCTGTATCCCTAAAATTTACATAACTGCAAACAGCATATGTCAAAATAACCCACATCAGCCTAACTGGGCGTTCAGTGGGATGCGTAATAGGATATCCAGAAAAGCATGTTTACTCGTAAAATCGGGCAAAACTTTGAAAAAATATGAATAGCTGCTGAAAACAATAGATCAGACTATAGATGACAATTAGGTCGCTCAGCCAGGTATGACGACGGACCATCGACTCACCTGGCATGAAATGCACGTGCTGCCTACAGGCACAAGGGGTCATCTCTAAGATATTTGATGCCTTTTCTTGTGTGTTGAATATGTCGCATCTATTGATTATCATCTTACGTGTATTTCTTTCATAAAGTTTATGTTCAGATATGTATGATACCCGTAGAAAAGCATAATCAGTCATCATATTAAATGTCTCAAAATATATAGGTGGCATGACCACCCATAGATCGACAGGACTGGATATTATTTGTAAATTGTTATGGCATGCCGTTTACTTCCCCAGTTTAATTCCCCTGAAGGATCATCTTATCTTAGCTTCCCTCTATAGTTTAATTCCCCCCAAACCACCGAAGGATCATCTTATCTTAGCTGATATCTCTTTTACATCCTTATATTTTTTTATATTTTTTTTATGTTAGCTATCGTTATAATGAAGCTAAGTCTAATTTCAAAATGGGTATTTAAAAGTGTATTTTGTAATACAATATCATCGCCCTCTAATTTGCATAAAGCCATGGTCTGTTCCAAATAAGTCGCTTTGGACTTAGAAAAAACCTGCATTGCTCATTTCTGCACTAATCTCTCCTGAGTAAAGTCCAATTTTTACGTTTCATATCTCCCTACCACTGAGACTATAGTTAAACTGAAGTTAGTTTAACAAATATTTCACACTTTCACATATTATCTACATAAATTGTAGATGTAAATGTGAAATAACAGTATTTTTCTATTTCCGAAAGTCCTTTAGTCAACACACTTGCAGACCAACGAAATCATCTTGCCTTCAAATTCATGCTTGTCTGCTAGCCCCTAGACTAGTAAATTTTGCTGAGGACAAGTAAAAATCCAAACTTCAAGTCCGAATTGACAAAGATAATTTGAGGGCTATAATTCTCAATCAGTTCCAAATGCTTCAATTTTACCTCTCAGAAAGTGTAAAAACGGTTTACATTTTTGTCTCATTCCAGTAGCACAAATTACAAATGCAGAAGACAAATTGGTTTTACAAGTCCTCTTAGCTAGTTTTGCAAACAGGACTTTCTAAAGCTGATCCTTCAATCCTAGTCCTTCAATAACTGAGCAAAACCAGTATATATACATGATTAAATGAAAGTCATGGTCCATACATCTGACCAACTGACCATCTGACCATCAGTGCTATCCCAATGCCCGTATCCAGCACCATGATTATATGTGTATCTGTGATGTTTCCACATCTTGCCTACGCCATGGGCAGCTCATGAGCTGCAGCATAGTGTCCGGTCACGTAGTGGAATATTTGCCGTTCAATGTCCCCCAACAGGCTGCTAGCACCAATACGGAAGAGATTTGGCTTCGTCCAATCATCTCCGAGTTCCTCCTTCATCATCGAGAGCCAGGTACAGGAATCTTTGGCTGTCCGGATCCCGCCTGCAGGCTTGAAACCAACCTGCAACCACAGAACATGAGGGGTTAACAGAGTTGATATAATGGTGATTGAAATGGGGGTTAACATCTTATAAACAGTGACATTTGTGCATGTGGTGTGTTCATGAAGCTGCTTGTTCTAGTCAGGACTGATGCTGATTTTACAGTGCTTTGACACTGAGAGGTGAGGTGAGGTGAGGTGAAATTGGGTTTAACGTCACGCTGGAGAATATTTTTTCGCTCATATGACGACGTGCATGCGTGTGTATGTGTATGTGGGGCTGCTTGTACTAGCCCAGACTGAAGCTGGTTTTATAGTGCTAGCTCACTGAGGTACCATGCCGCAGTGAAGCATGAATACCCCACTCAGACACATTATACTGACTCTGAGCCGACCAGTCCTTGTTGTACCCATTAATGCCGAGTGCCAGGCAGGGACCAACAAGTACCATAGTTTAACGTCTTTTGGTATGACGCGGACGGGGACTGAACCACTATCTTCCGCTCTCCGGTTGGATGCTCTAACCACTACACCACAGAGGCGGTCTTGACACTGAGATGCAGTCCTGGGTGTCACTGAACAAAACAAACTTACTACTATGTCAGAGGTCGATTGTCAGAGGTCTATTCCAAGGGAGGGGATTTATGATCTCCTCAGCACGAGGATTGCTTGTACAACAGCACCGTGCTACTTACAGATATGAGAATGGGTATGAGTGAAAACAGAGGAAAAAGAGCTGGGGGTTTTAGGGGCAGCAGGTTTAGACGATTCACAAGAATTACCCTAGTGTGATTAAATCTGCGGAATTCCACGGATCTGCAGTAAATTCTCATCCCTGTATTTAACATAGTTATTACCCACTTAGTCAATGTATGGGTAGTTGCATACTAATCTCATACGTCACACGAGTGTCGTATCGCGTTGACCTGTGTCGTAACGACTTGACCTGAGATTCTAGCGATTTGATTGGATAACCGATGACCACTCATTTAGGTCACGTTGTGACGGAACTACTTTTTCATTCATAACAAACACGTGAATTCATTCATTCTACAACTTATATGCATTGTGGGAATGTAAACATTGCGAACGTTGCCATATCGCTGTTTAATTGTGAGTCAGACTGAGGCATTATATGAGTCGAAAAAATAAACACAAAGTTTCCACCAGTGAGGTTAGCCGAGTGAAGCAACTGCAAACCAAGAAATGGAGTGCTACGGAGTAGTTTAATGTAGGAGGCTGTACGAGGCGATGCCAACTGACATGCATCGTGACGTCGGTTACCAAGGGGGCAGACGAGCAAACCGTAGTGACGTCATTACAGTGTGACGTCATGCAAAAAGTGTACTACAGAACAACATTCATCCGCAACCTCTTTATGAAACCGGTTTCGGTTTGAAACCATAACAATAACAAAAATACGCTATTTTGTCAATTTAATGCATATACAACGTGGGTAAGCCTGATGGTTAAAGAGTTGGCTCGTCACACCAATGACCCAGGTTCCATTCCCCACATGGGCACACTGTGTGAAGCCCATTTCTGGTGTACCCCGCCGTGATATTGGTCAAATATTGCTGAAACCTGCGTAAAAACATACTCACTCACTCACTCACAATGAGAGTTGTCACTTGAACAACCTGGGACCAAAGTGAAGGCTTTGATATAAAGTACTTAGACTACATCATAGTTTAAATAGATCATAATCTGTATAACTGCTTGAAACGCTGTTCAGCAGCAACAAATTAGTCAAAAGCAAATAATTTAACACTGGTTTCTATCCCTGGTCTTATTTCCAGACATTTTAACTGAGTCTCCCACAGTTAGTTCTGTCCCGATAAACAAATTTGTTTAACATGATGTATCAATAATAGATCACACTGAAAAACACCTGTATCACTCTTATATTCCATATCTGAACAACATGGTCCACCGTCTGCATCCATACCAAATACAGCTTTGAACAATATGATGATAAATCAAAATGGTAGAAGATAAAATGCCACATGTCGTGGTAACTAAATTTCTTGACCTCCTTTTATACTTCTTGAACCTTGAACAAAATTGACATGAAGGCCGGCTGGTTGGCTTGATATACTCTGACATTACTCTCCACAGAGTTGTTTCCCTTGATAATATGCATTTGATATAGTTCTAGGTGAGGTGAGGTTAAATTGGGTTTTACGTCGTGCTTGAGAATATTTCGCTCATATGACGACGTGCATGCTTGTGTATGTGTAAGTGCGGCTGCTTGTACTAGCCCAGACTTAAGCTGGTTTTATAGTGCTAGCCCACTGAGATACCATACCGCAGTGAAGCATGAATACCCCACTCAGACACATTATACTGACTCCGAGCCGACTAGTCCTTGTTGTACCCATTAATGCCGAGCGCCAGGCAGGGACCAACAAGTACCATATTTTAACGTCTTTTGGTATGACGCGGACGCTCTAACCACTACACCACGGAGGCGGTCGATATAATTCTAGATTTACTCCTTTCAAAAGTGAACACGATGTACCTGCTGTAAACACATCAGAGTTGTGTCCCTTGAAAATGCACATTATCTCATGTATTTCTAGGTATAAGTCTATATTTTCACTCCAACCATGGGATACCATGTGTAACAGTGTTGACAAGGTACCATGTTGTACAGTGCTGGTGGGGTACAATATTATACATTGTTTGATGGAATGCCATGTACAGTGTTCAATGTGTACCATGTTGTTTGGTGTTGACAGGGTACCATGTTGTTTGGTGTTGATGGGGTAACACATTGAATAGTGTTCACAGGGTACCATATTGCTCAGTTTTGACAGGGTACCATGTGTTACCATGTTGATGGCACAATGTTGTCAAGGTATCAAGAGTTACAGTGTTGCCAGGGTACCAAGTGTTACAGTGTTGATGGTACAGTGTTGCCTGGGTAACGTGTGTTACCATGTTGATGGTACAGTTTTGATAGGGTACCATGTGTTACAGTGTTGCTGGTACAGTGTTGCCAGGGTAATGTGTGCTACCATGTTGATGGCACAATGTTGTCAAGGTATCATGTGTTACAGTGTTGCCAGGGTACCATGTGTTACAGTGTTGATGGTACAGTGTTTCCAGGGTACCGTGTGTTACCATGTTGATAGTACAGTGTTGCCAGGGTAATGTGTGTTACCATGTTGATGGTACAATGTTGTCAAGGTATCATGTGTTACAGTGTTGCCAGGGTACCATTTGTTACAGTGTTGTCAGGGTACCATGTGTTACAGTGTTGTACCTTGAAGCTAGTCCTCTGGTGGTACTCCCGGATGGCTCTCACCATCACCAGCGCCACGGGGAATGTTGCGTTCACTCCCTCCTTCCCAGTGGATGTCTTGATGAAGTCAGCACCTGCACAGACAGCAAGCTCTCACTAGTTCAACATTAACACCATACCCACTATATCATGAATCTCGAAGCAGGGTGAAGAGATGCCTATCCCCTTTTGGTACCATACTGAACATGCACATACATACATCCAGGGGTGGAAATAACTTTAAAATTGCTAGTGTACTCCGGAAGAAGTGGCACATGTAAAATCACTTGCCCTGATACCGTCCGTTTTCTTGTTGATTTTTTAATATAAACAACATAATTAACATTGGAAAGTCAACTGGACACTGGTACAGTGTGATATACAAATTTGCTTGCCCGACAGAAAAAAACACTGGACTCGGACGTCGGGCAATGGGTTATTTCCACCCCTGACATCTATACAGGTGATTTGGTAGAATAGAAAATTAGATGTATAAGACCGTGATTTATCATTTGTGGATATATTTTGAACAAAATTAAACAACCACAGAACAATAATTGCCTAATATATATTCTGAGCCTTAAAACAATGAAATACTCCAATATCGTCATCTCTCCAACCCCCGCTAATAAACCACTCATTCAGTTGCCATTACGCTAGCTTCCCAAGCCCCTACTGTACACCCACCTGCCATCATATATACATTAATCATTGACCCCAGCTCTCAAGTGGCCAAGATAGTCTTCATGTGAGGGGTGGTGGGGTAGCCTAGTGCTCACAGCGTTTGCTCATCACGCCAAAGACCTGGGTTCAATTCCCCACATGGGTACAATGTGTGAAGCACATTTCTGGTGTCCCTGCCATGATATTGCTGGAATATTCCTAAAGGCGACATAAAACCATACTCACTCACTTACTTATTCACTTCTGTGGTACCCGTGAAGATCCGGGTTATAATTGATCTTCAGTTACCCATGCATATCCTAAGAGGCGACTTATGGGATCGGGTGGTCAGGCTCGCAGACTTGGTTGGCACATGTCATCATATCCCAATTGCGTAGATCAATCCGCATGCTGTTGATCAATGGATTGTCTGCTCTAGACTAGATTATATACAGGCTGCCGCCATATAGCTGAATATTGCGGAGTGCGGCGTTAAACAACAAACCATCCAACCAACCACTTTATGTGAGCTTCATTAGCATCGTATCTCTTGCATCCTCCACACACAACTCTCTACAACCCCTCCGCACACACCTCCCCCATACCCTCTCTACACACACACACACACACACACACAAACCCCACCTACCCTTTACACCCCCCACTCACCTGCCATCATGCACACCATGCTGGCCCTATAGACATTAACCATTGACCCCAGCTCTCCAGTGGCCAGGATAGTCTTCATGTGAGCTTCCCCACACGCCTCCCTCATCAGCTTCACCTCCTCGTACAGACCTGGAATAGAAACCAATTTATTTTCACTCGTCTGCAAAATTATCTCCTACAGAGTGACCATCTTATTTACGGTAAAAGTTGTAGTGTCCATGGAAATGTAACTAATCTTCTTGCATGTTATTAATTTCACATAAATAGGTCACTCACCATCCTGCCCAACAGATGACATGCCAACCTAAATTAATTAACAGTAACTGCTTCTCAGTTCTTTATAACCTGGGGCGGTGGGGTAGCCTTGTAGCTGAAGCGTTCACTCGTCATGCCAAAACCCCTGGTTTGATTCCCTACATGGGTGAAGCCCATTTCTGGTGTCCCCCACCATGATCTAGCTGGAACATTGCTAGAAGCAACGTAAAACTATCCTTACTCACTCATCGAGTCATTATCAGGCCTACCAAAGAAAACTTTCCCACTGTGCAGAAAAACGCAGAAAAGTCCACATAAATCGTGGAAATAGCAACATAAACATATTACCTCGCTACTGAAACAGTAAAAACGACAACGAAAACTATGAAACTGCAACATTTTTATATCAGCGAACTTTGACCTCTACTCCGCAAGCGCATGCGCATTACGATCTGGGCTTCTTTCCAATTTCCGAGCGACCGTGAATCGCCTCGCGTAGAAAAAGTATTAAATATGTCGAAATAATTGCTGTCAATCGTTTCATACAAATGGAAAGTAAACTAAACAAGTGTGCACACGAGTACCATGATGATAAATGCTAAATAACACAACAGAAATACTTAAAAAGGAATGTAACTTTTGTCCAAGCTGGAAAATGTCAACATGTGGTCGAGACTTCCTCTTCCATGTGCACATGCGCAAAATCGAAGTTGCGGGCTCCTCGTTTTATGATGCAGTGTTAGCGATTTAAAGTTGCCGTTTTTACTGTTTCAGTAGCGAGGTATTACATTTATGTTGCTATTTCCATGATTAATGTGGGCTCTTCTGCGTTTTTCTGCACAGTGGGAAAGTTTTCTTTGGTAGGCCTGATTATGACCATGACCTTTGTAGACACTTGAAAATAACCCAAAATGATCCATGCCTGTTGTTTATTGTTTCATGTTGCACTCAGCAATATACCAGCAACAGGACAACTGTTTGTAAATAAATTAGTCAAACACTTTAATGGTGATGCATAATGGTAGTGTTAACTACCTTTCCAGTTGCCTGTAAGTGCATACTGTCTGTTGATGACTATGTCTATCTCTGATGCTCCATCTGCTACAGCTACGTGGATCTCTTCCAGCCTCGTCTTCAGGGGCACCTGTCCCGTGGGGAACCCTGTAGCCACTGGACGGGGAGGGAAACAAAGAGAAGGATCATATTGGATGAGTTCAAGCGATGATGTCAGCCAGGCAGTGATGAACATCATGACACAACACCTGAATCAAACACAACAATATCATAGATCAATTGGAATATTTTTATTCTCAACTCCATGGGGAGTATACAAGTCAAGCTGACTTCAAGATGGTTGGGTAGCATTCGCTAGTCACGACAAAGGCCCGGGTTCGATTCCCCAAACGGATATGAGATTGAGAGTGACACAGATAAACAGATTGACTAGCTGCAAGAATGGGTTTATAAATCATTTGAGTTGGTTAAATTTTATCACATTTCCATCAGTTGCATCATAGTGACAATTATTATCATAATTTTACTAGTGCAGCCAAGGCATATTGAAAATATTTCGTCTGTGCCATTTCAATACCAGTATTTACAGTGTCATGGGATGAAAATTAAGCACAATTTTTATGCCTGCAAGATCTTCTAATCATTTTCAGTAAACATGATGAGGCAAGCTTCCAACCTGATGCAATGGGGATCTGTTTAGCATTGGACTTCTTGAAGACAGCAGCACAGTCTGCCACTCTGTTCGGGTATACACAGACAGCGCCTACTGTGATGCCTTTATCCAGCATGTCCATTGCTTTCAGAAGGTCCTCTCGGATTGGTTGTCGAGCCTTGAAACACAGCCGTGACACATTGGCAGCTGTGTCATCCCCAGACAGTGTTGTCAGATCGATACAGGTGACTGCCCTCAACAACCAGGCAGCCTTAGAGAAAAAGAAAACATTGTGGTTGACTTGTAGTAAATTCAGTAAAGACGGCAAAGCTATAGCTACAAGCTATAATTATCTCAGACAATCAGATGATTAATATAATGTGTAATGATCGATGCTGTCAAGGTATGATGACACCTAATCCACTAAGTCTCCTAGTCGGACCATCCAATACTTTAAGTCACCTCCTCCGACCAACATTGCTGGGACGATTTCTATCCTGGAACTTAAAACTAGCGACCTCATCCATCTGATCCCCATTGTCATTCATGTCTTTTTCCCATTACTATTTGAGCATCAGTGAATCTCTTCAACAATTCATCACAGATCATACCATCAGTGTGTTAGTGAGTGTGATCTGGTTTTAGGCTGGATGTTCACTGCAGCAGAGACCTTAAATAAGCTTCACATATTGTACAAATGTCAGGAATCAATCTGAAGCCTTTGGCTGGCTGGCTGAGTATGGTTTTACGCCGGTTTTAGCAATATTCCAGCAATATCACGCAGGGGGACACCAGAAATGGGCTTCACAAGTTGTACCCATGTGGGGAATCGAACCCAGGCCTTCGGCGTGACGAGCGAACGCTTTAACCACTAGGCTACCCCACCGCCCCCTGAAGCCTTTGGTGTGATAGGTGAACACTTTACATGCCCTAACCACTAGGCAACCCAACTACCCACAGATACTAAGCTTCCTTCAAGAAACGATCCCCAGTGTTACCAGTTGTGAAGGTGGTACTTTCTGTTGTATCCTGAACTGGTAGATATTTACTAAGTGGGTTAAACCAATGGCTATTGTGCAAACAAATAAAGATCATAATCTACCACTCGCTAATCATAAAGGCAAGAATTTATGGATGTCAACCTTTTATTTTGAGGGACATGATGTTTCAGGATATATTCTTACTCCTTCATCACCTTCATCATCAAAATAAAGAAGTTGACATCCATACATTCTAGAGGTGGTCCGATTAATTGAAATAATCGAAGATTGGTCGCAGTGGCCAAACGACCAAGAAATCGATCACATTTTCTCATAATCGAACACAAACGATTTTGGAACCGCCGTAATAGAGTTTGAAATACTTGATGATGGAACATATCTAGGATGTTGTCAAGGCCTGAAAACGTGTTTATTTCTAAGAAAACTCACTTCACTTTCTGAAAAGTCATGACTGAATATTTCTTGAAGAATCTGGGAAGTTAATGTTACACTGGAACTGAATCATTTTACACTGGATGTGAAATCTGCAAATGTAATTTGTGCAGTTTCTAAAAACAACAACAGAGAACCAAATGTTTTTCTTTATATTTATCTGCAACTACAACCTGAATAGGAAAATCTAACAAATGACGCTAACCAATTTTTTTTCGATGATTGGTCGTTGGTATTGAACCAATCATCAATTGTGAGATTTCAACCAATTCCCAACACTAATACATTCTCGCCTTTCTGTGTATCACTTCAAAATGCCATTCAAAAACTCTTAAGAGTGTCTATTACATGTTTCAAAAATATCACAAACCTGCCATTGTTTCTTTACTGTCCTTCTTGTACCCAGTGTTTCTGCCCGACGCTTCACAGCTGCCAGATTAATGTTGACATTCTGAAACCAGCTCTCATCTGGAACAGATAAGTATACACATCCATTACAATACAGACAGTGAGGTTTTACCATGTCTGCGTAACTTTTAGCAATATCACAGCAATATGCCGACTTTGATCACCAGAAATTATCATAATATTGCTGAGATATAGGAGAAAAGTACCTTTTGAGAATATGACAATGGTTTTAGAATCAGACTTTGAGTTTGAGTCACGCATTGACAATGCATCACCCTTTGGACCCTCACACCATTCATCACTAGGGCTGTGGTTGACCTAGATTATACTGCAATATATTGGCATAATTTAACATCTATTGCAGTATGTATTACTACATATTGCAAATCAGAGTTAAACCCTTAAAGGCTTTATTAATGTTAGATACTGATATTTTTCCCTCCAGTCTGTTAATGACATTTCATTTGTCATGAAATATTAAACAATATTCATCTAAATAATATCCTAAAAGGACTATTTGCATATTTATCCTCCATAGGCTGTCGTCGAAGTCATACCATCAACTTTGATGTGTAAAGATATAGATGCACCTCACCACAGTTGTAGTAACATATGATTAAACATGTTAAACAAAACGATATGTAAACACGGTAAAGCGCCACCAAAGGTTTGGCTCATTCCCCTCTGCTCTGTTGACAAACAAGCAAAAACGTCTGGTCACATTATAAGCCTACATTCGCGGTGTTTACTAGAGAAAAAACATCTGTCAGTGAATAAGAGAGTGTACATCTGAGTAGGGCACATTACAATCACACACAATATATTTTGTTCCTGTTCAGAAATGGTTTTCACGAAATGAAGACAGTGAACATGGTAAACAAACTGATATTTTTGACAAACGTGAGTCTCAACTGTGCACATCCAAATTGGTCTACGAGTCGAGTATGCGGTTTGACAAGCGAAAGTCATACCGCATTCCTCTGTTGCGGGTCCCCAAAGAAACGATAGTATCAGATATAGGCATGTCTGTTTCAGTACATGGTTGTGTAGATAGGTTCAGCTCACACCCCAGCTGTAGACAGTAGAGGTCTACTTAGCCTAGGTCAGGGTCGGACACTATTTCGTGCATTCGTCATTTATCTAAACATTGTGAAACCAATTTATAGCAATGGCAATACTAGATAACGATTGATTAGATTTTCATACACAGTGTACAACGAATCCCTAGTTAGTCAACCACATACACAACATGAGAACTCACCGAATTCAACTCCGGGATTCCTGGCAGCCATCGTGGATCGAAATGGGAGGTAACTCTAAAATATTTAACGTCTTCGCATACCACACACATTTTGCTCCTACCATCCCCGGTAATCCACAAGTTCGCATAATTGGATAAGATTGTCGTTTTAAACTGTTTTCAGACCAAACAATAATTAGAATCTAAAAATTCAGAATTAACAATAATACATGTAATTAATATGAGTTTAATCGTAATTGAAAATGGTTTATACAATAAAATAAATATTCTTGTCTGAAAGTGAAGTGGGTAACTGGTAATGCACATTGAATGTTTTGACAGTCAAATGAATATGTAATTAAAATAGTGCAATGTAATTCATTCGGGGTCTTTTTGTAGGAGTACATGATTACATTCTTTCGTTTGATGTATTTGCGTCTGCTTTGGATGGAAGCTGCAGTATATAAGAACAATGCATGTCTCTTCATCGGAAATCGAACCTATAACAAACACATTCGTGAACATGTAAGTTCAACAGTATACTGACTGACTGAGTTTGGTTTTACGCCACTTTTAGCAATATTCCAGCAACATCACGGCGGGGGACACCAGAAATGGGCTTCACACATTGTACCCATGTGGGGATTCGAACCCGGGTCTTCGGCGTGACGAGCCAACGCTTTAACCACTAGGCTACCTCACCGCCCCTCAACAGTATAACGACATTCCAGTTCTGAGCACGTGATACCAGCTGAACTTAGCTCATCATGTGTAGAATGGCCGCTATCCACCAAAGATGGAAACACTGAATGTATTCAATTTGTCAGAAGTACGAATTTTCTTTTACCTGCAGAGAACTCGTCAACCAGATGTTGCTTGTACTGTGTTACTTACTATTCTGAAACCAACAGAGCTCAAAATATTGATATTTCAATACAAGTGTTTGACATGTGGGTGAATGGATTGAGGTTATGGCGGTTTTATAGCACAAACCAACTGAGACTGCGTGTCGGAGTTTAACCTTTATACTGCACTGACTCCGACCCGACCACTCCTTTGTTTTATTTCCTTAATGGCGATAGTTGATGTACTCATTTTCAACTCTGTCTAACTCGCTGGTAAATGGATGCGAGTCTGAACAGTCCGGGCAGACCCATACGGGTGATAACCATTCATCCAGTCCTCTCTATTCCCATGGTTACGATCAAGATACAATTCACTTCATATTTTCTTATATCATTTGGGGCTGTGGGGTAACCTAGTTGATGAGTAATTGGTTTATTCAATAAAGGGGCCACAGGCCCATTATACAGTTACATGAGTCATAGCATGAAAGTGGAAAATCTGGAGCGCCATAGCACTGTACAAGATACATCAATAAACACTTAATGGGTTGTACAAGTTTTGTTAAGGTAATTGTTACGTTGTTTGAATGCAAGGAACAAAAACTTCGCTAAACGATTTAAAATACCTGAATCGTGTGATGTGCAAAGTAATACCAGTTTATCATAAGAAGGATAAGTACAATAGAACTCAGGCAAAATTGTATGTCTGTGATTATAGTAAAAAGGCCATTCCAAACACATGTGATATTCTGTCTCAATTACAGGTATAACACAAAATGGACAAAAACGGGTAAATGGGTAACGCGTTCGCTCGTCACGCCGAAGACCCGGGTTCGATTCTCCACATGGGTACAATGTGAGAAGCCCATTTCTGGTGTACCCAGCCGTGATATTACTGGAATAATGCTAAAGCGGCGTAAACCTAAACGCACTCACACACTTTACATCCAAGTCAGACCATAACCAGTTCCTTCCATGAATCCTACAGACCCAGGGAACATAAGAAATACACGTACACATCCAGCTGCAAGCTTTGCATAGCATTTTGAGTCTGAATCTCTCATTTTGTCGGATTCTGCTATTCAGTTTAATTGGGGCAACTTGTGTCTATCTGAGTCATATATTTTCATGGACAGACAGACGTGTTGCCTCTGTGTTGTGGTTCTCCTTCCAGTGTTGCTGGCCTTGGTATTGGTGAATGATTTGTTACACGTGGTGCATTGTATTTCCCTTCTCGGGTTAATTATACGGGACAAAATTCTTCCAATACCCGTTTCCATATTATGTTTTTGGATTAAGTGTTTATGATGATATCGGGCATTAGTCATGGACGCATTAAGCAATAAAGATGGCACTCGCCAGACAGGTGCAAGTCAGTTGTTGACCAGAAAGAAAACAGGAACGTGATTGTACGCAAGTCAATTTTATTGGGCTCTCTGACAATCAGACGCTGCGCCACACCAGTTTGCCTTCCGTGCAGCCATTTATGTAAAGCAAAAATCGAGCAATGAAGCAAGTCTGGATTTACTTCAGGTTCAGACTGTTTCGGGAGGATATGGCTTGGTTAGGGTATCCGTATACATTACATGATAGCTTTAGAATGTTAACATACGGGTAGCCTTATATTTGTCCGAAACTCTCATATATATTATCGGATTCAACTATTCAATTTGAAAAGGGTTACTTGTTTCTGTCTGGAGTCATATATTTTCAACTGATTTGGTTTTACGCCGCTTTTAAATATTCCAGCAAATCACGGCGGGGACACCAGAAATGGGCTTCACACATAGTACCCATGTGGGGATTCGAGCCCGGGTCTTCGAGGCTACCCCGCCCCATATATTTTTTCATGGACTACGCAGTATAGTATTTAGTATATATTTCCATCGGACCAGAAAAAAGATCCCATCATAATCCATTATAGACTTTCCATAGCACCTTAGTTCGTCAAGATTAAGCAAAGGCCTTTTCCGCTTCTTGTTCACGAAAACTGTTACCAATAAAACACAACAGGGGAAAAATAGACAGTACTATATTTACTCACAAATGATTCCACTACATGTATATAATCTACAGGTCAAACAAGCTAAACAAGCTAATATATGATACGGGATATGTTCTGCCTCTGTGTGAGAGGAAGAGCACTGAGATGAGACTCGATCCCGCTAAGTCTGTATCTACTTGTGAGTCCAACTGTGCTTCTCAAGAGCTCTGGCCAAGGTGAACCTTCTTCCGCACCTGTGGCAGACGTGTTGCCTTTCTGTGCTGTGGTATTCCTTCCAGTGGTCAGAGCTGGCCTTGGTGCTGGTGAACGTTTTGTTACACTGGATGCACGTGAGGCGTTGGGTGACGCATGCTTCAGCCAAACACATGATGCGATGACGTAATAACGTCTGGACACTGGGGAAGGACTTACTGCATTGGATGCACTTGTATTTCCCTGATGGAACGCCGTCAGCTGTGGGTCCAGTACGGGTGGGTCCGAGAACAGGACGTGATGGTTGGGTCGTGGCGATGGGCGAATAGTTAGTAGAGGGTCCGGACGTGGTCCTCTGGGTGAGGTGTTCGTGTTCCATAAACTGCGTTTGCAGTGGCGTCTGAAACTGTTGGACAGTTTGTGGAGCCCCTGACCTCTGCAGTTGATGCGTATCCCATGCATGTTTTGTCGTCTGCCAATATGCTGGTGCTTGTGCATGCTCTGTCGTCTGCCAATATTCTGGTGCTTGTGCACGCTCTGATGTCTGCGTATATTGTGCAGCTTGCTGATGTTCTGTTGTCTGTCTGGTACCCGTCAACGGCTGTCCATTGGTAGCTTCTTTATATATTTTCTGCTTGGACAATCCAGCTTGAGATTGTCCAGCCTCTTCAGTTGTGCCAGGTGTTGTTTCAGAAGAATCATGAACATTTCCCAAGGTTGATCGATGCAAACAGCTACTGCTGTCGCTTGATACAGGTATATCGATGACAAGTGGCGGAGATTCATCACAATCACCTCTAGGAGAGGAATGATTTTTCTCCCCAATTGATCCACTACTTTCGAGGACATTTTCGATGTACTCAGATCTTTCAAGTGCCGGTGGTGTGGGAAGTCGAAGGCGGGTCTTCGATTTGGGATGTGAAGAGTCTGTACGAGTCAGTTCATCTGGTAGGTCGATGACAAGAGGCGGGGTACCGTCTGACTCATCTCGTATGTCCTGTTCAGTGCACACCTGTATGGGCTCACGTCGAGTTTGGGCGTTTGCAATCTGTTGTCCTAGATGCTTTAGTTGTTCAAGGGCAGGAAGTACAGATCCAGATTGACGAATCTTCTCTGAAACCGTGACCACGTCGGACTTTAGCTTGGCTTCCATTTGTCTTCTTGGTACAGTGTTGAAACTTCGAAGTGATCCAATTGAGTTAGATTTCATAATTCTTTTTATCCTTTGTTTTGATTCTCTTGGTTCACCATCTTGGTAGTATTTCAACATGACTGCCTTGTCACTACCTTCCTCTGGGGTGGCAAGTTGTTCAGCTACGATCTTCTTGGTACCCAAGGATGGTGCGGTGATACTTCGTCTAAATCTCGTCGTCACGGCTGGAGTTGTTTGTGTTGGAACCTTGGCATTGTTGTTCCCTTCTGGTCTGGTCCATGTGTTGGGGAAGCCGGGCACCGTCGGGGCGGGAGCGTGGAAGTTATGGTGGCCGAATGCTCTGTTTTGATCAACGGATATGTCAGCCAGATTGCATGCGGACGAAAAGAACGATCTACTGGCGAAGTTGTGATCCCTCCCGTGTGAGATGGGCTGCGAAGGGTAATTCCAATATCCATGGTTGTATGTAGGGATATGGGTGTGACGCGGTGGGTGGCGTAAGTGGAATAGATGGCCATGGTCACGACGTAACGAGTCAGCAGTGGGCGGAAATACAGGAGGCTGGGGCAATGTATGTCCCCAACTTGGAAGGTAGGGCGCCTGGGGGTATTCTAGACACGGGCGTGGTCTGTGCATGCCTAAAAACAATCATTTAGTAATTAATAAACTAATTGAAGTACACGTATTGTTTACGCATATTGTTAACGTATCTACCTAAGTACATGGACTTTGGTTGTTTGTTGTTTTACGCCGCACTCAGCAATATTCCAACTATATGGCGGCGGTCTGTAAATTATCGAATCTGGACCAGACAATCCAGTGATCAACAGCATGACCATCGTCCTATGCAATTGGGATAGGATGACGTGTGTCAACCAACCTGACCACCCGATCCCGTTAATCGCCTCTTACGACAAGCATGTGTTACAATTTTCGAAGTTTCTTAGCGCCAAGATATCGTGTTTACTGAACTTACGACTATCTAAGAGAGCTTCGATGAATATCAATTCTAACCCTGATCTTCACGGGTCTTAAGTACACGGAATCGCACCGCCAAGAGTCACGATCTCTCTCTGAACATCCATACATGATGTAACTAGCTGATATTTGCTACTGACACATTACCAGATTTAACCGAATCAAGTAATTTATTGTGATACCGTATCAACATTGCTATAGAACATTACATAAACCGCTCAGAAAAAGAAAATGTATACTTTTGTATAATGTTTACTTTTACAAAAGGAAAATACAAACAAACTTTAGAAGATCAGCCTCCTGTGTGGGATACAAGTAATTTAGCTTGTCATACCCTTATCACATGCAACATTACGGAATAACCATGTCTTAATGGGAGTTTCTTTTGTCAGGTAGTGCATGTGGATGATAGGGAACATATATCAGTGGACACTGCGAATACAAGAGGATTTATATCTCTTTCAAATAAAACTGACAATCATGAAAAAGACCATTTAAGTCAACTCACCAACTCTTCAGCTATTATGTTATGTCAGAGGAAGTTTGTCGATGTTGGGTTGGAGGTTTCACGACTTCAGTTTGTCTCGATGATGTTGATTTGATGACTATCTCGCTATAATATCCCTATATATAGATCCTGGGAGTTCTGTTGTTATAGTTAAACCACTATATCTCCTCTGTTCCTTTGTTCAATGCACTATACCACATCTAACTGCTATCAATACTGATTGGTAAAACAACTACTCACGTACCACTTCTCAGATGAACAGAGCGTTAAGACAACAGTATGAGAATATGATGACAACCCGTTTATCTTATTGTAATTGCATCAACCGCAAGCAAGCTCTTTGATGTACCCCGCTCTTATCCGGTTTGTATTTTGGAGACTTCTTTATTTATTGTGGGGTATATTTGTTCATTGTCATCTAATCTAAAATGTCTTCTCCAAACACCACTAAAACACTAAGGACCATAAGTCTAAAAATATTGTCAGGATGATAACCAAATTACAAACAGTTCACACATTCTTGTGTATTGCGACTTAAAATGTCGGGCGAAAGAAATTATACACTTGACATTGGATATTTCACCAAAACATTTAATACCTCACTAATTGAAAACCTCACTAAGCGGAAAAATATCGTGAAACGCTGTAAAGTAAAGCTCAGAAACACGAGTGTGATGCCCGTAACAAATTACATCGCCATCGAAAAAGATATTTCTTTTCTTTTTTTCTTTTTTAGCCACCAACAAGCATAGGTGTAGATGCTTTCTAGCACTGTTGAATGTTAATGTTAAACAAACCAGGTTTTGTTACATTACATATGCAAAACGTACTTTTAAATGCGGTCTTGAATAACTCTTTCACTGAACTAGATATTGCATAATGTGATCGGCTAACTTTTAATTGTTACATGATTTAATCTCTTTGTGTGTACTACAGGCTTCACTATCCCTGTGTTTATACTGCAGGCTTCACAATGTGTTGTTACTGCTACTGGCTTCCCTATGCCACTGCAATCCTAATCCCCAATTATACTGTACAAACATCTCCTCACGCTTGTATATATGCTTCTCAATCCTCATTCTGTTCATTAACTTGGACTCCACTCAAAAAAAACCAAATAAAAATACCTTACTCCAAAACAGACCTAAAAAAAGAAAGTTAACAATGTAATAATAAATATATTCAATTATAACTGGCAAATAATAGGAAAACATTATCCACTCTACCAAATTCAACAAACACTAAATACAAAATGTAAAACTTATCACCAAACACGCCGAATTGATGTTGCCATAACCAGATTAAGATTACCAAATTGCAATCTTAATCACTATCTACACAAAATCAACCTTCATCCAAACGACAAATGTATCACTTGCCAAATTCCTGAAACAATAGCCCACACTATCGTTTACTGCTCAAAATATAAACAAAAAAAAACCCATTTACCAATGCTTTAAAACAGTATCTCAACAGTTGTAACTCTTCTGATCTCAAGCACATTCTGACAAACCCCAAACCACTCACTAAATATCTCATTCATACAAAATTATACAAAACAATCTAGCAACAA